CCCTTGATGCACATCACGGACCATTTGTGAGCGGCGCTGCTGTGCCACAGTTGCGGCAGCGGCCGGAGATAACGGGGTGCTGAGAGCGTTTTCCAGCACCGCTGGGCAATGACGGGAACCAGCTGATGCGAATGCTGGGTGGGGAGGAGAAAAAAAAAACAACAACAGACAAAAAAATGAAGGGCTGAAATGTGAAAAAGGGGGCTGGACGAGTGAAATTTGAAGGAGAAACAAGTGAGTTAGTCTCGATATATTCCCTTCGAGTGCCTAAATCTATGATCGTTGTGGTACTGGTGCCTCTTGGGGCTTGTTGTTCGTTGACGGCTTCTGGGCTCTTTGTGTGTTAGTGGTGGGGGAACCCTGCTTCGCTGGTTTGGGTGAAAATACCCCCCCTCCTCCCCCCCACACACACGGAGAAGGAGTGAGGACCGTATTCTGAAGTACGTGGTGACTTCGGTACGCCGTGCGAGGTGTGGTGCTATTGCCGCCTTCACTGGTGCTGCTGCTGGTGTTGGTCTCGCCATTTTCCATTGATGCTCTTTGTCTCCCTGCTCTCTTCCTGTGTTGCGTGCAGCCGTTAGTAATACCTAAAGCAGCCACGCCCATGAATGACGCGGAGGGGGTTCCGCAACCATCAAAGAGGGTGGCGAAGTATCTTGGGGAGATGACGAGACTGCTGCAGTTCATGGACAGTATCCCTCCGTCTGACTGGCCTACGCTCTCGACGAAACTCGCAGATGTGTTGAAGTGCGTCGAGCGGAACAATGAGGCGGCGGCGGAAGTTGTGCCCGACCCAACGTTGCTGTGTCGAGTTATGTGGAAGTGCTTCGACCCGAAGGGCGTGATGGGGGTGCACCGGCGGGCGCTTGATGTTCTGCAGCGCCTCTGCCAATGCATGGGCGCCTTCCCACTCATGCAGCAGGCGCCGCTACTGTTGGTTGGTGTGCTAAACCTCTTGCCCCACTCCTCCATGCAGCTCAAATGCGAGCTGCTACATTTCGTGAAGCTAAACATGCTTTTAGCCTTGCCTCCAGAGGTGGTGGCTGTGGAGTTGCCGGGTATCGTTGCGGGTGTGCTAGGTGGCCTGGAAGAGAGCGAGACAAGTGAGGTATACCGCTTGTCGCTGCAAATGATGGACAGCATTTATGCCATCGTGAATCGTGCTGATCTTCTGCCCTCTGAGACTTCTACTGTTTCCGCTTGGGCGGCGGGCAAACCTCCGTGTGTGGACGAGGACGTGAGCGGTGTTCACCACGAGGACAGCGGGCTGCCAATAGGTAATGACGAAGGGCGTAACGACGTGTTCGTTTACCGCGCGTTGTGGTTTACGTTAAAGAATTCTCCCTCGCTGCGAGGAGCCGTGTTGTTGTACCTGAAGTTGCGTCTTGGTGGATCGAGTACGGACCTCGATAATTATAATCACCAAATCGAGAACAATGACAACAATAATACGAAGAATTACACTGAAGACGCTGTGACGGATAGTAATGTTCTTGAAGGGGAACTCACAACAGTCACCGACGTTTCAAGAGCTCGGGTACCGCTCTCTTCCTTTGTTGGCGGCAACCCACGAATTGCTCACAGCGCCATCTTTGCCACGCTGCAGGAGCGGAGCGAGCGACGGCAGCGGCTGATGCTGGATGTTCTTATCAGCGCCTTCCCATTGAGTGATCAGTCGGTATTTGCGTTTGAGGAGCAGTCCCTCTTGGTGGCGGCAGCAGTGCAGCTGCTTGGCCTGCCGGATGTCACCACCAGTATTCGGCGTCGTATCGCTGAGTGGCTGACGGGCCCTACGCCGGAAGGTGCCGTCAGGTACACGTGTGAAGTTTCATCGCTCCGTGTGGCACAGGCGTTTCACGGTGTGGTTCGCTGGTGGGAGTCACGTTTTGTTGTTGCAGCGGCCCTGAAGGAGACCCGAGAACGTCGGGGCGAAAATAACCCTGTGGAGGGGGCGCACTACCAAGCTTTGTTCGCTTCAGCGTGCAAGTACTTCACCTCGTCAGTTGCCACAGCTTCAACAGAGAAACGAATAGACTCTACAAACGCGGATGTGCTTCCGATTGTGTGGCTGCGGGCTCTCTTGAATCTTTTCCAGTTCGTCATTCAGCTGGATGAAGTAAATCACGACCATGATGTTGGCGTTTCTTACTACGAGGAACCGCATAACACTTTGGAGGACCGAAGATCTACAGAAGTGGGCAGTCTTTTCATGGAACATGTGGCCCCGCAAGTTTTGCCTTATGTCTGCGATCTGCTCGTCTCAATGGAGCTTCGGAGGCGAGATAATCCGTCTCAGAGTGGTGCTATTGATTCTACACTCAACGCATTCTTCCTGGTAGTTCCATGGGATTTTTTTACTAACTATCAGCGTGGCATTATCTTGATGCTGGAAAGGCGTGTTAGTCGGCTGCAGGGGGATGCGGCGTCTGAGGGTGGCCAGGTAGGCGCAGTAGTAGACAGTGCGCGGGTGGGAGACTTCAATGATGCGAGGGACATTGAAACCGTTCTGAAGGTGCAGGAACCCGATATTGATGTGAGACGCCTCTTTGACTTGGAGGTGTGGTTCCAGCAGCTTAACGGCATGACCGAAGTTTTGGAGGCTCATTTAGAGGGGCTGGCGGATCGAAATGCGGAGAAAGCGGCTGTATTCCACCGCGGTGTCTTCGCGATGTGTCACTCGCTCTGTGGCCTTGTACGACGAGGTGTGTGCAACGCTGCCCTAAAGCACGGTGCAACGTACGTGGCACCCGTCACCGTGGAGGAGAAATCGCGTCACACAACTCTCCAGCGCGTGGTTGACGGGTGCTTGGACGCGTTTAACATTAGTTTTTTTAGAATATTCTCGACCCTGCAGGAACGGGAGGAGTTGAAGGAGACTTGCGGCGCAGCGTGGAACTATGAGGTGGCGTTTCTGGCGCCGATTGTGGAGAGTGCTGTCATTGTGACGCAACTTGTCGTGAGTGGCCTCGTTTCGTGGAGTAAAGCATTGACACGCATGAACGACACTGTATTTTCCCTCCTGTCGCACTTGCATCAGCTGGGAACGGGGTCGGCGTTGCCCGGGAAAAGGTTGAATTTACGCACGGAACTTCTACAGGAGTGGGTGGAATCCATCGCAACAATGGCAAGCTCCGCGTGCCCTGTGGTGGTGCAGGACGCACTGCAGTTGTACGTGGACCTGCTGGGCTCCAGTGTGCTGCCACCGGCACTGTACGACGCCATGACAGCACAAAAGCTGGCAGCGCGATTGGTGCCATGCTGCTGGCACCTGCTGGGGACGTGCAGCACGGAGATGCAGCCCCGTATGGCAGATCTTTTGGTGCATCTTCACGGCATACCGGAGGGACACACCGTTCTCGACACCATAACGACTGAAGACACGACTGAGAACTGTGAGCGTCTCGTTCTCCTGTTCCGCTTGCTAATAGAGAGTGGGGCGCCACAGGACTTATTTCTGCCGGGTTTGTTCATGATGCTGCGGACACTGCACCACAAGGATGCATCGCGGCAACGGTTAGCGCAGTCCATGGTGCGACAGCTCCTTCCTCACTTTCACCGCGTGTTGAATCCATTGTTTGCACAACTTCTCCAGCAGCCCATCGACAGCATAGTCACAGACACGAGTGCGGTGACGCGGAGTGGGATGCTTCTTTCCTCCCGGCGTGGGAGTCAGGATGGGCAGAGCTGCGAGGTCGGCCATGTGGATCTGATGGAATTTCTCCTGCTTGTTAAGTGTTTGTTATCTATCCCATCTTTTGTTCGGCAACTGCTCGAGCAGCTCCATCAAATGCCGCCGCCGCCTTGTGGCGCCGCTGCGCTGTCGTCCATTCTGCCATCCCTTCCCGAGTCGGTGAGTGGCGCGACAGGAGACACCGATGTGTCGCTGCAGTCCGCCTTTGCGGCGCTTGGCTGCGTCCTGCTGGCCATTGCGCGGCGCGGTTTGACGCCGCTGGAAGGGACGGATCCATTCGACGGCAAGCTCTGCGTGGAGGCCTGTGAGACGCTTAACTTGCTGCTTGAAGGAAGCCTGCGTCTGCCGAATCCGCCGGAGACCATTATCCACACGTGGCGCTACACCTCTGTTCACGCTATTGACCTCCTGCGCGACGCGGTAGAACGGCAGGTGCTGCCGGTGGTGCAGATACTTCTACTGCGCCACATCGTTGACGCCGTTCGATTCCTAGACAGCCTGAACCTGGAATTGAGAGAACAGCACGCGGCTCTGATATCGGCATCCGCTAGTAGTGGTAACAGCAGCTGCGGCAGCAACAACACCAACGATAGCAGAATCAATGCAATGCGCTGCTGCAGTGCCACGCTGAAATCGGAGCAGTTCCAAGAGACAGTGGTTGCGGGTGTCGAACTGGCAGCTGCTGCGGCGCGCATGAGCGACTGGGCCACCCATGACCTTCTCTCTGTGTGGTGCGACACGCTTCTTGAGCTGTTGCCATTTTTTCACGAGGAGCGTGATTCAGCTTCTACTCTTCTACTGAAAGTGTTAATCGGCGTCGTGGAGACGCTACTGCAGCAGAACGGTCCTTTGACAGAGTGCGCGACTTCCCGAGTTATTGAAAAATGTATTGGTGCAGTTTACGGTGTGCTTGAGTTCCACCTTGTGACGT